GGCCGACGGCGAGGCGGCCGACGGCGAGGCGCCCGACGGCGAGGCGCTGACGTAAGTCCTCGCCCAGGCTCGCTCAGACCGGCGGGGGGATCGGGCGGGAGGTGGGCGGGGAAATACACACACACACACACGCTGTTAATCAGCGAGCAGGGGACGCAACGAGCACAGACTTTGCACGGCAAAACAACATGAGCAGCTGCGCACAAAATGCAGAAACATACTAATAAGCACACAGGCGGATCGCGGGCAGTTTCGAATATTCCATCACAATTAAAACAGTAGCACCTCCACACCTACCCACACATACGTAAACATGCGTGCGCGTGCACACACACACAGACGCACGCGCGAGAGCACATTCTCACCCACATTTGAACACCTACATACAAACATACATACATACAATTGCGCACAAATACAAGCCACTGAACACCGCAACAATAACCATCGGCCGGCTTTGCAGCTTCTATCTGTGTTTGCTGACCTTATCTTTGCAGTTTGCTGCCTTTGTGCTTTTGCTGTCGTTGTCGCTGTTGCTGCTTGCCGGCACGACAGGAGAAAAACACCGCGCCACGAAACACCCACAGCAAGAAACTTTGCTCCGAACGTATGTACGACATCACTACATCACGAACGGACACAAAGTGGCACCCACGCAGTGAACATACGGGGAAAGACCTCCATGCCGTACTCCCTACACGCCGCACCTTACCAAGGTACAACAATTTCATACCGAAATCCCCCTCCGTCACCAACTCGTCTATCCATTTGCAACGCGCCTTCACCCATAGAATCCAAGAACGATGGCCGACCTTGATACGACGTGTAACGGCCTCACGGCCGGAAATCTAGGCGCGTTCTAACTAACGTACGACATGTACGGGCGACCGTGCATCCGGCGTCACTCACCGGCAGCGGAAGACGATGTGAGCTTGACTGCGTTGATTAGAAGCGTTGACAATGGGGGCCCTTGCTTCACGCCGACGCAACATCGCACTGGGGTCTTGGAGAGTTGAAATGTGGTGTACGCAGAGATTCTCGTTGCCAGGTGGAACGCGGTCGA